AGACAGACAGACAGACAGACAGACAGACAGACAGACAGACAGACAGACAGACAGAGGTGTCTTTACGCTCCTGTCGGCACAATCTAGATCACTTAGGAGGAAGGAGGAAGGGTAACCCAAAAGATGGGAACGTTTCTGTCTTGTTAAAAATGTAGGCGTTAATTTTTACACTCCTATCGGCACAATTCAGATCATTTCAGGAGGCGGGCTTCGATTCCGCCTGACAGGGTCAACCCAGGGGCTGGGAGTGGTGTACGTTACTACCGTCTGAACCCTATCCGTGTGTCGTGTTTTACTATCCTGTCCCCGTTGTTTTAAGCACCTCGCATAATTTAACAAAATTTGATCTTTTTGGGGGGCATAATTTCTGATTATTTACCTTCATCTTTCTTTGTTAAAATTATCAGCATCGCATAATTTCACATTTTTGGGCTCAGTTTGCATAATTTCAGAATGTTTCTTGCATAAAATGACGGGGACAGACTATCCTATCTATAAGACGCTGGGAACTCTGTGCCACCACTTTCAAAGAGAAAATTTACCCGTCAATCCGATCCGTACGCTTTGCACAACAGTCTGTCAATAATGATTTTTTTTAGAAATACTGAAGGTTTCAAAGAGACCTTTGTACTAGAAGTATTCTAAAATGCGAAGAATACAGTCCTGGGGGTACAAAATGACCCAAGGCAGGGAGTACGGATAGGGTTAACTGAAAGACCGAGAGACTCGATACAAGAATTCCCCCCAAACGGGAATGGAACTCGGTACTTCTGTCTGCGAAGGTGAAGCGTCTACTAACTACGTCTCCTTATTCTTTGTTTCACTAAGAGTTTTACGGCACTTGCAACACAATTATGTCATATAAGTGCCCAAGATTAGAGGCATGAAAAGAGAGTAACAAACACAAAAAAGGAGGGGAGGTAAAGACGATAGATGTTTGATATGAAAGAAGAAGCAAACCACACCAGAGCACCCGCCAACCACCCACAAACTACATCTCCATATCGGCCAGACGCAGAGCAATAACAATAACCAAAAAATAATTGCACCCCCCCCCTCATTCCATTCAAGAGACAGCCCCTCTCCCCTGCACCCCTCCACCCCACCATAATCTTTCTTTTTTTGTTGCTCGCTCCATAAACACACGCGTGGAGGAGTATAATATATCGAAAAAGGACATGAAATATGCATTGCTTTAAACAATATTCAAGTATCTGCTGAATGATGAGGAGGTAGAAAAAGGCTTTTAACTTACTTTTACTATTTCTTGGACTCACCCCTTTTCCTACTTCAGACAAGGACCCCCC